CAATTTCAAACAATTGTTTTATCAAAAACGTCTCCATATTTCACTTTAAATGTAGTCCTCGTATGTAGAAAAGAAAGTTGTGCTGGTCCCATTTTGCGTTTTCAAAAATAGCAAGCAACATAAAATTATCGTTGCAAAAGTATAAAATTGATTATTGAGTTTTCTTTAGAGGGGATACAACCAGGGGCGGATTTACGCGTAGGCACATGCCTAAGGTGGCAAAATAATGTACTAATTTGTATCTAAAAGGTCTCTTCTTCGTCGCCAGAGATTTTTATTTTTATTTTTTTTGTAAATTGTATTCTATGAGTTTTTGAACAAAATTATTAAATATTGGAAATTAATTTGTTAACCGACTGCTATATGACTTTTTCTAAGTCGAAATGAGCGATGTTTACGTTTTCAGAAGCCATTAAAATGTAATTATAGTCACCGTAAAGGAGTCTTCATGATCCATAGACACCAGTTACCTTTATCGAATTTCTCCGTTGTAGTCAGTGTTGCTAGATCAGCAGAATTCTAGACAGATTTGGCGGTTTTTCAATAGTCAATAGACAGTTGGGAAGAAAAGAGCTTTTTATTATTTACGTCGATAAACACGCGCTTAGCTCCTTAGCAAGCAACGAATTAGGAATGGCCGTTAAAATGCTCGAGACCATTAAGAATAGTTTAGCGCAGTGCCGTAGCTAGACAATATTGGAACCGGAGCAATTCTGAAACGCAGCCCAATCATACGAGTTATTTTATTTCAACCAATAACAAAAATTATATCGTTTAAATCAGAAATAGTTTTTGGAAACATATTTAAAAAAATAGTTAAGTAAAAGTGTTCAGTGATCAACTAATACAATTTTCACGGTGAGCTTAAAACGTTAAAAAAGTGTTGTGCTTAATAAAATCACTGGTTAAAGACATGAAATATTAAATATGAATTTCAATAGAAACTATTTTAATGTTAGCGTCATTTAAATCATTTCACCTTATAAGCAATGCCTTTAAGTAACTGTTTAATGTAAAAAAAAAAAATTGAACATTTTATAAAATATCAGACAACTTATAAAATTACGATTTTCTCAAATTATAATTTATTTTTCAATTTTTTACTAATTTTTTCCCCATCAGTCCTATCATTGGTCCCCTTGACTTGCGGGGCCTTGGGCGATCGCCCGGTCTGCTATGGGATGCCTAGCGCCGAACTTATTTAGCGGACTTCCGGATTCAGATTTTACCAGTGTTGAATCTTCAGATAAATATGTTGTTGCCACAAAACAGAATGTATGGGAAGGCATGTAACCAAAATTAATTTTTACAATTATTTTGGTACAGATATATTAAAGTAACAATTTTTAAACTTTCCACTGACGTAATGCAATTTGAAACCATGACATTTATCTTCGTTAGCAGTCTATTACAAGAAATCTATTCCGAAATTTGTTTTCCCTTGTCCCTGTTTTCCTGTCATCTCATATCCCCCCTTGTACATTTTGTCTTCAATGTCCCAGTTTGTTCCCCTATTGTGTTTTGTCCACTTAGTCCCTTGTCCCCTAGTGCCATTTCCTCTTTGCTTGTCCCATTTGTCTTAAATACAAAGGACGACTTTATTTGCATTATCATGTGCAAGTTGAATATTTTTGGTTGAAATCTATAAATTGTGAATTTAAGTATACATGTTAATTGAACATTTTTGATCATATTGTTTGGTCTAATAGTGAAGCCTCACATGAATAAATTAACATTATAAATGTATGTGAATCTCTAAAATGCAGTTTATATCAGCTTCACAACATTCTTTCAGTACTGAATCAGATCAGAGATTATTTTGGGAAGGAAGCAAATTCCAAGATTCATCTATCAAAAAGCTCATGAAGGAAACATTCAATATATGAGTATAGTTCACAAAGAAGATATTATAATATGAAAGTGTATTTACAGGTAAAGTTCTTTTAGGAAAATAAATTTGGGAAAATGTCAGAGGCAATTATGATACATTATTTTTCTGGGATCTTAACCTTCTTTTTACAAAATTCTGGAAGAAATGATTTTTGTTTGGAAAATCAGAGATTTGTATACTGTTTGTAAGGGATAAGATAATGTAAATTATTAAGAGGTCTTATATTTTGTCAGCCTCATTAGTAGTAATAATAATAGCAATAGCAAAAATACTATTACTAATAATAATTTATCAATGAGAATTGTTTTAAACAATGTATGGCAAGACACTTTGCCCTAGCAATTCATATTCAATAAATCTTATGTAGATGCTTTTAAAAAAATACATAAACTAATACTTTCACACTCTCAAAAAATTACACATTGCATTATGTATTACTATTATATAGTAATTATATTTTATGTAAAGTTATTACTGCATACAAAATGCGTAATAATACATGTAATATTAATACGATATTGTTTGTCCAAAATTATATCAAGTCCCTGCTTTGGCATTACATTATATTACTCTACATAGAATATTACAGAACTATACATACATACATACTGTATTATACAATGTTCTTATCTAAGTCAGAATTGTCTCAGGTAAGACGCGCTTTGTACTTATATATTTAAAAGTTTATACCCTTAGAGATTTTGTTATGTCCAATGATTTTCTTTTTTTCTTTTATAAAGAATTAAACATTTCAATTTTAATTCTATTTTTATTTTTTTACTTTTTTTATAATGTTATTCCAAATTTTAAACAGACTATATTGCAGAACATCAATGTGAGCAATTGGGTTGCAAAACATTGTGATTAGCGCATAGAAGCCAATAAAATAGTTTTAAATATGAAGTGATTTGAGGGTCTAAAGTAAGACTGCACTTAAAATACACAATAGATACACTAATTTTTTACCTCCTTTTTTTATTATTAAACTTTAAATTAAATTGTCTATTAACATGTTGTGATATCCTCTATGTTCATTTTAATTTCTAAAAAGATATCTCTAAGATTGTCATTTATAAATCATTCATCTGATTCTTCATGCATTCATCATAAGCTTTGGGAAAATCTATATTAGCTTATTCAATTTTTTGATAAAATTAATATTCTTTTACTTTTCTGAGAACTCAGACCCCTTTTGACCAAGTGTTTTTGAATACATGTGATAATGATTTGTTCATGATGTAAAGATATGTCTACACGAATCAAGTCTGTCAAACTTTCCTGGATAAGCCCAGTTTATTTTATTTTCAATGTCGTGTGTTCTTGGTGCTAGACTTTGAAAATTATTAAATTATTCATACTTTTCAGTTGTGGTTGACCCAAAAAGAAGTGTATGTAGTATACAATGAGAACAAAGATATATTATTAAGTCTGGTCAGAAAGCGTGCGAGCAGATTTAAAATGTAGGTAACATAAATAAAATAAGACAAATACTGCTCAATTTATGTGCAAAAAGTGAACATTTTAAAAATACATCTTTATTGTCAGGATACATGGTAAATGCAGTATATTATTATTTTTAAATTTCATATTTTAATATTCACCTTCATATTTTCTGTTAGAATGATTTTAGTAGTTATTGTATGAATTCATTTGTTTCATGTGTTAAAAGTCGTGTAGTTGATGAAATGCTGAGGAGCTGAAGGGCATTGTTTTAAGACTACTCCTTGTCATAGCATGTTCAATCCAAAAGAATAAGTGCGGTATCAGGCAAAGGGATACTTTTTTAATTATAAACTGAATTTGTAGAAATTGAATTAAAATAAATATAATGATATCAATCTAAATTGAAATAAAATTGAATGTGTATCAATGTGTACATATTTTTATGCACACATTGAGGTTTGGTACAAGTTTCGTGACACACCCGAAAAGAAGTTTCAAAACAAAATAAAAGGAGTTAATAATTAGGACATTATATCATAATTAAGTTACATCATTTTATGTAAAAAAAATTGTTCTTTTCTCTCATACATCTTCATCTGTATCAATATGCTGGCCATTCATAGATAAAAAATTAGACTCATCAACAATGATCATAGAGATAAAGTCATTGAGTTGTTTCAGATCACATATTTTCTTAATGTTGATTGCTTCTTACTTCTAAGAGTAAACACTAACTTCAGGAAGTTCTGGAGTGCTCACATGTGGTTTCTTTAAATCAAAGCTGTGTTTAGTGTGTCCATCAACACCTAATTTTACCTACATGCGCTTGAAAATACATAAACTGCACAAAAGTTGAAATATTAAATCTTTTTTTATTCTTCCTTGAAATACTTCTCGACTATGTCTCAGTTGATATAACAATTAGGCCACCACAAGTTCACATTTATTACTTTTCCTCTTTTCACTAGATGGAATGGAACTTGTCATTAAAAACAGGGGGGAAACCTTGGGAAACAACACATTTCCCAGGTTAGGGTTGTTCCTCAAATAGATGAAAATTTTAACATCATATATCTGTGAAGTTTCTTGGTGGAAGTGAGTTGTTTTCTAAGAATAGGATTATGCAGAGTAGGTTGACATGAGAGGGGAATACACTAGTGTTGCCTACAATCAGATATGCGAGACATTTTTTAATCAAAATGCTCACAATTTAGTTCAATATGGTTACATTGAATTGAATGGTGCAATTACAATATGGTTGGATTGAATCAGGATGGTGTAGATTTAAATGGAAAAAAAATTAGAGATATTTTGAGGTGAGAGATTGAAAACGCATCTTGCAGTAAAGAACAGTCACTGAGCAATGGCTTTTTGTACAGAAAAGTTTAATTGTAACTAGCTTCTTTGAATCACTGTCGCGACTCTTGTTTGGGAAAAGGCACTAACACTTTTAAAGAATTTTTAAAAAATTCTACAATTAATTGTTATGTTATTATTTACTATTACTGATTATCCATAATTAATCTTCTTTAACTTTAATTAAAAGGAAATGACCTAAAACAAAATTTAGGAGTTTCATAAAATTCTTTAACAATTTGTAAACAATTGGAAAGATAGAGAAGCAAAAAACTTTTTAAGGAAGGGAATTGCCTTTATAAACTATTGACGCAGCTAGGCATTGTATTTATTTCAAAGCAAACAATTTTATTTACATCATTAATTTTTACAATTCTCATGAGACAAGGAAAAAAAACACATAAGATTTACATTTTAGTTACACAACATTGCTGATTCCTAATACTGAAAACAGGACAACTCAAATGAAATAAACTCAATTCATTAACAGTCCTGGCACAAAATTATAACACATGTAATGTAGAAGAAAACTAATCATAAGAATCTTAATAATAATGACATTGGAATGTAGTTATAACAATAATTAAGAAAACAGCAATTGCCATGCAAACAATATTATTTTGAGAAAAGTTTATCATGAAAAGGGAAAAATGGATGATATTCATATACTTTAAATTTCCCAATTTTCTCTTTACCTATGTAGTTGTAAGATTTGAAACATTGGTCACAAAAGTAACATGGATCAACTGGAACCCGCTCATTACCAAATGTTATCCACCTGTGAAAAGAAAAACTTTTACTAGAGGTCAATTGAAATATTACAAATTGTGATGTGAATTTACATTGTACTACTTTCATTACGTATCAACTTTCAACCAATATCTATATCAAAATCAATGTCCTCAATAAGACATTCATCATAATAATGCATATTTGGAGACAATTTTGAAAAACCTATTTTTTTCCATATTTTGTTCCCATAAATGATTCCGAATTTTTAAATCAATGACATTTATGCTAAATTCTATGTATTTTCTATAATACACAATTACTTTAGAAATAATCTAATTAGAAATTCCGATATCAAAATTAAGATTTTCATCTGAGAATACTATATTACTTGCCACAACAGCAATAAATATAATTATAATACCTAATTTGTTCATATTTTATTTACTCTCATGAAATTTCTCAAGACTGCATAATAATGACAAACCCTAAATAAAAAATATATAATAATAGCTAGTGCATATACAAGTCCAGATAATATCTGAAAAGAACACAATGGCAAGAAATGCTCAGAGATAATTTGCATGAATTGGCCATAAGTAATACCTACTTATCAGTGGCCAAACAATTTTTTTTTCTTCACATTTCTTCAATTTTTCGGATCCCGAATAGTAGTATAATATTAAAAAATGACTTTAAGAATATTATGGAAGCATAAAATCTGCTCATATATACAAATTCTAATTTAAAACTGTGGAGCCGTTTTTCATAAAATGTCATTTAGCTGGTTCTAACAATGCGCAAATTTGATTTCACGTTTCCGGGCGCGCCGCTGGATAATGAGAACTGGCGCCGACCTACACGTCGGTCTTGAGGGCGTTAATTTCCATCCAGGTACCGCCCCATCCATGTTCCATTCCCCCAACATGTGAGGTAGTGTAGTGCATGTATGTGTAAGTGCGAGGATAGGACAAGGAAGGAAACATCGCGGGCTATCAGTGGCCCTTTTTTTAGGTACTGCTCCGGCATTTGTCTGGAGTTGCGCGGAGAAACCACGGAAATCTGCAGATCAGAGCCGCTAGAGTTTTCCTCCAAACAGCAACAGAATTCAACGTATCTACCTGATGTCGAAAATTCTGCCACCGTCAGGATTCAAACTCTAGAACCTCCCGGTCAGAGGCCCTGCATTGGCATCATAATGTAATTTTCAATACAACACTAACTGAAGCATCATAAGTGAATATTTAATGGAACATTTCTAAGTTTTGCTGGTACCAGTTTCACTACTGCTAATTCAGTATATGTGGTTCAAGCACGTTGGGGCACCACCTTATTTTTCTCACCAAGACAAAGGAATTTTAACCAGCATTTCCTGAATAAATGCATTGGTAGTGGTGCAGTAACACCTTGGTGCTGCTTGCTCGCCAGATCTCAACATATTGGACTTTTGGGGACATTTAAAGAACATTGTGTACTCAAGACCTGTTGCGAATGTTCTTCGTCAGCATGTTGAGGGAATTCAAGATTCAGAAGACAGTTGGAATATGGGACAGAGTAAAGCATGATGTGGCGGTTACAAGCTTGGGTTAGAACTAATGGTATGTATTTTCACCATTTGTTGTAGAACGAAAAAAAGTTTGTAATTTGGAAATTATGGGAATTAGGCTCAATGCTTATATGAACTGTATTGCTTCTTTTGATGTTCCCACTTATTTCCCCAGATGTAGTAGGCAAACAGGTAATAACTAAAAAGCATCCATAATTTTAATTTTGGGGAGGACCATATGTAAATATGAATTTTATTGCTTCTTTTTAGTTTCTCCATGCCAGAGGTGACCCACATGTTGATTAACACTCAGTACAGACGAGTTGCTTAATAATAAAATATTTTTTAATGCAACTTTTGATACAACCATAAAACATGTATTCTTGGAGAGATAAGTGAAAGTATTGCAACACTGCTTCTGCCTTAATCTCGTTAGACTGCACACATGTCAGCTATTCCTCTTGCCACCCCTTACCTTTCTCTTGACCTACATATCTGGTCAAAGCTTCGTTATGTACGTTTCTGTTTTGAAGTCAGAATGTCACGCAAAAGTTGCGCAAGCAGGGATTTCAGTTTTTCTATGTACCTCCATAAAATTCCGATAACACTTTATTTCACTCACACACACAGTGTTAATAAATATATTTTGTTGCCCTAGTCTAACTTTTCGACAAAAAATTTGAACAATTGTCCAACCCGGACACCGACAGCATCCCCCCCCCTCCAGTGGGATGAAATGAGGACGAGATAAGGCGGGAGGACAGAAGAGAAGTCTTGGCGAGAACAGAGCTGGTTTCTCCGCCAATTCTCACGTCTTAGACTAACGAAGGGGACAGAAATTCGCGGACAGCATAATAGTTTCTCCGTGAAGCAGACCACACGAAAGAGGGAGAAGAGAGAGGAAGAGGGAGGAGAGAGAGGAAGAGGGAGGAGAGAGAGGAAGAGGGAGGAGAGAGAGGAAGAGGGAGGAGAGTGCGTCAGTTGGAAACTCTTTGATTTCAAAATGATTTCATATACATCGATATTGAAGAAAAATGCTAAATACTGAATGTTTTTAAACCAAAAATGTATCTTCTTGATGCATTTTCAGATTTTTTCCATTATCTAGGGGTTCTAGAATCGTACAACCTACGCACGAGCCGCCACTACCAAATAGAGACCTCTCATTCACTTGCTTTTCACAACGAACTTTTCTAAATAAAATATAATAAATTAAACGATTAATTCTAAAGAATATTGTGTCATATTTTCAAGAAGAAGCAGAGATGTTACTGTTTAATGTAGTAGTTTTATTTAATAGATCACTATAAAAATAAAATAATGAATTACACTATCACCCAAAACTTACCTTGCGTGATAATAATGGCATATCATACAAGACAGGTTCGTCTTCGTTCCAATGGACTTCACCACAGGATAACGCTTCTTTTCACATACATCTGATTCATGAAGTAAACTGCAAACATAAATCCAAAACATCAAAAACGCAAATGATGAAATCATTTGACAGATATGAAGGGTCCACATAGAACGGGGTTCTTAACCCATTAAGAATCCAAGATAATTTTGTGCGCAGACCGCTTGCCCAATGCCGTCGTTTCCGTGCGCGCAGTAATTTTTGGAGATGCAATTTGAACAAACGAAGGCCCTATATGCCCGAGTACAAGGCGAGCCCCCAATTTTGAATGGGTCTTCTGAGTTGCTGTTGTGTTTTTTCGCCTCTCTATCTTTGACTAATTCCCACTATTCACACAAAATAGAATCACCAATTATCTTATTGACCAGGAAATTGACACGATTGTAATGATTCATCTTTTTGCCTAAGCTGTTTTCTCGTTCCTCAGTAATAACATTATTGGCGTTACTTTGTAAGGTGGGTGTGTTCAGCCTTTTCCAAAGTTTGGCAATTTTCTGCTAAGAAACTTTATTTTTTAAATCCTTCTCTGAGGTTGGTTGGTGAATGCATATTTCTATCAAAGTATTTTTTTTTCTTTTCGATGTCTTGCAAAAGGCAAATTGGACTCAATTGGCGTCGGCTTCACAGTTCACGCGGACTCGTCGAGCCCCTCATGTAACAACTTCTCGCAAGCGATTTTTATTATTTTTTGCGTTTCTCTTACTCTTAATGTCGTTTGTTTGAGAACCTCTTTACCAACCCATTCAAAAATATTGGCCTGAATTTACAGGTAAATCCACTGTGGATGTCCAGTACATGTCGACGAATTTAATTACCATGTTCTAGACTAAATGATATGTAGTCGCTGCTAGTTTGTCTCGTTTAAAAAATATTTTCAAGTTAAAAGTCAGTTGACTGGTTTTTGCATCCTCGGGCGTAGTACACAAAAAATTCTATTAGGAATTAAAATTAAATTACAATCTGGTGGTCTTAAAACGAATATTCCTTGTTCGAAGTCTAGTAGTGCGTAACAGACAGACACATAGAATTCCTGTATTCCCGTATCCCGATTCCTGTATATAAAATAAAAACAATACATCAGCAAACATCAATTTCTCTTCCGTATTTTCACGCAAAATCACGCGAAAAGTACTCGAATTTACGAAAAATTATACATGATCCTATTTCACAATATATTTCCAGGGTGCGTATCTCATTAAGGGGAAAACATTCTCTAATATTTTTAGTTTTGGGATGACTCCGAAAAAATTATGAACTTTTGCAATTTTCGAAAAATGAGGGTTTTCAACGAACATGAAACTTACACCATTCCCTTAATCGTTCTTCACACTAACCAAAAACAAAATTTAACAAAAAATCAATAGAGCGTTGTTTTTTTGAAAATGTGGAAAATTTCCATGGGGCTTCATGTTAAGTAGTCCCAAAATTAAAATATCCGTTTCAAATTCGAGGGACAGCCAAGTCGATTGAGGAATATCAATTTTGGAGAAAATCCGCTGGGCAGTTTTGCCGCTAGCGTTGTTCACAGAAAAACGGACGGGCAGACGTTTTGCCGCCATTGGATTTTTTGGTATCAAGGATCCACGAATCATGGATTTTTGGCTACACCGTGTGTTAGAGGATTTTTTCCTCTATATGTATCAACTGAATTTATCCACTGTTTCGTTACTAGGGCCCTGTAATAAGAATTTTCTGCCGAAAATTCGCCTTTTTTCGGCTCAGCATTACACAACTTTCTTTCTACCATGTAACGAGAAAGCAAACAGTAACTGTGTGATCGCAACTCTTCTTGTCGGGTGTTCTTCCGGGCAACGTATCCAGCGACTACCAGACCCAGAATACAGTGTTGGTGAACCTAATCCGGACGCTCCCAGAAGAGTTGTTTTGAAGCGAACATTATTTCAGTGTGTTATCAGGCGGTTTATTAAAGACAATTTGCACATTTGCAACCTCCTATTCCACAACAAACCGTTTAATACCTTATACGAATTGGTGAAAACCAGCATGTTATAAGTGGCATTTTATAAATTCTGAGAAAACGTGTTTATTTTATGCTATATTTTAGTGGAAATGTATTTTCGTGGTTTTAATAAACAAATGAAATTCCGTGGTTTTAATGATAAAACAAGGCACCACGACTTTAGAGTAATATTGACTTATAAACAGATTTGTATTTCAAGACTTGACTTAAACAGATTTCTCAGAATTTATAATATGCCACTTGTACAGTTCTGGTTTTCACCCACTCATATATGTATTAGAATACAATGTTGTAGGTGAAATTATTCTACAAAAAGGGATTATCCCACTAGTACCATCACCATTGTTATGCTACACATAACAAAATTGTCCTATAAAACAATAATATCCTACAGGTGACAAGCCGACGGGGAAACTGCTTCCCAGTGATCCACGCCGTGCACCACGAACTGTACTCGTAAACAGCGGCGCCCGAGCGATAGCAATCCGCTTCTCTGACTGGGTATAGGAGGGTCGTCGGATTGTCGTCGCATTTAGCTGTCATCGCAGTTCCCCTTCAGGAAACAGACGCACCGAATTATACCTCCTTTGTCTCGATTGGTGAACGGGAAGGGGTTTAACCACGGCCACCTTCGCTACCGACTTCAGTTTAACCGTAACGCGCGGACGCACGATACTCGAATATTACGAAGGACACGCCTACTTTTTATCGTATTTGCAGCCTATTGTTATGTCAGCGTCAAAGTTTATGGACCTGGAAAGGAAGTCTAATATAAAAACAAATTCAAACGAGTTCATCCGACAAATATTAGACAGTTTTTTCTGGAATTCGATTTTTAAGGAAAATCTCATATATTCGTGTAAAACCAGTAATTAAAGTGGTAATAAATCTTGCTCATTCCATTCACCTAAATTTTCTATTACACATTTCTGCCAAGATAAGAAGATTCTTCAGTATTTCACGAAGAGGTTTAGTTCACACATACCCCCAATTTACAAGCTAGTTTTGCTTATATATTATATACAAACCAACAAAAACTAAAATTCTAATCTCTGAGTGACATTCTCGCATCAACTAGTAATATTCCAAATTATAAATATTTTCCAATAAGGCACATCACATCTCTCTGTTAATTTTTGCTTATAGTATACATCCCTTTTTATATGTTTTTTATATTATTTTTTGAAAAATTTAGTATTAAATAATTTTTTAAGCACTATCACTCTTACAAATTTTCACATTCTTTTTTAACAAATTTTCAATTTTGTTTACTTAGGCTTATTGGGCTCTGAGGCCCCAAGCTGTAGCATATTTAATAACAATAATGTGCGCTAGAATGTTCAACTCACAAAAAATATTCCTAGTGGAAGATACAGGACCATTAGAACAAGTTCAAGATGAGGAGCATGCTGTTGCCCCCTACTACTTGTCAACAACGTGAGCACAGTGGATTTACCCTTCAAGAAAACACTTATTCTAAATGGTTTCATGTAAAACTTAGTGGCTTAATGTAATAACAGTAAACAAACTGCTATTTAATATTTTTGACATTCATGAATTATAATTTATGGATCAAAATATCAAAACTTGGTGTACAAATACATTGTGTACATTGTTCTTTTATGCTTTGCATTCATTTCACATTATTTCCCTATTTTTCCATTAGAATGAAAATTATGCACGTCAATTATTTCAATATAAGTCATAGTTTTCAGAAACAGTGTGTGCAAGTCAACAAATTAGTTAATTACTTAATTAATAAGCTATGTTTCAGAACAAAATATATGTAGCACGTTAAAAGAATAACTCCTTAACACGTTTATAACACTTTGAGTCACTTATTTCTAAACATTATAGTTTTACAGCTTTATTATTTACATGTTATTTTCCGGAAATTATGTTTTTTGACTTACACCATGTTAGCTCTCAACAGTTTGATTATGAGAAAATAAATTTAAAAAAAACCTGGTGGAAGAAGCAATGCTTTTAAAATCAGTTAGGTTTCCATTTTTCTTTAGGGACTTAAAAAATGAGAAAGAGAGAGAGGGGAGGGGGGAGAGAGAAGGGAGGGGGGAGAGAGAGTGGGAGAAAGGGGTGGAGAGAGAGAGACAGACAAGGAAAAGAAAAGTAATTCTCTAAATGATCAATTCAGGAAGCCTACCTGGCATCAGAAAAGATAATGAGATGTTCACAATTTCCTTGATGTTGATATACATATGGGTATCCAAAACGAATTGTCAGATCTTCAAATTTTGTTTCTGCCATAGATCCTTCATGCAAAGGGCCAATTTTTTTTCTTTCGGCCCATTCTCTTATGACTTTACTGTAGTCAATATTTGCAGGATGCCGCATATCATTGTAAAAAGTATCTTCAAAGAAAAATAACCCTGATTTAAATTGATCCTGAAAGACAATTACATTTTTTTAAATACACAGAAAGATAGCAGGTACATTTTCTCACATATTAAGAAACAAAAAGATATTTTCATAACCAGCTTCACTCTCACACTTCAAGCAAGGAAACTTGTTAAAACGAGAAACATTCCGAGACAGTGATATCAGTCCCCAGCAGCGGAATATCTCTATGAACAAGTGAAAGATAGGGATACTATTGTATTTATAAACTTGAATAAAAAAGATACCTTCATTTTTATAGAAAAAGAAAGTATACAGATTACACACAGAATGTCTTGGCTTTCATATAAAAGCAAGACATACCTTAGCTCTCAAATGATTTTTCCTTTCCTCTTCATCTTCAAAAATCATCTTTTCAGTTTCACTATGTGTTGCACGATAATCTGTTGTGCATATTATCTTGTCTCTGAGGCAAGTTAAAGACTGACTTCCCAGAACCATCATTTCTTGAGAAAAAGGCTTAGCAGGCTTAGGATAATTTTCAACAGGATATACAGTGTCATGCACTCTTATGGTGATTACAACATCTTTCTTCACAGTCAAATCACTTTTACCTCTTTCTTCATTGTTCTGAAACAAAGAAAGAACAAGAAATAAGATATGACAATATAATTGTTACTATTTATCATCAAAATTTTAATTATAAAGACAACCACACATATGCACATGAATGTTTTTCTCACTTCAATTGTATATGACATTGTTACTGTTCCTCATTTTGAGATGTTACACTTTGCAGCATATTTATGTTTAATAATAATAATTTTTCAAGATCTGTCTGTACGGTTCTTTTTGAAATAATTTGTTTCCATACAATGTGTCCCTAGCTATATCGTACTGTTTTACCTTGAGATACATAATGACGTATCTGGGGACAATGTAGGGAAAGTGAAATAAATACCAACATAATATTTATTGAACAACCGGATCTTAAACTTAGATTATAATAAATACCGTGTAAAGGAATCCTGCAGTACTCTTTGGGTCTTTGTTTGTTGAGACCCAAGAAAAAAAGTTTTTTGTACAGTATTATTGTATATGAACATTTATCAGATTCAAAGTGAAGTGTGGCTTTACAGATTTACCTGTGTAAACACAGATTTAGACAAGTAAGCTTCCTGGAGAGAGAGCAGAAAAAAAACAGGGCATGAGAGTTGAGTGTGATCTAAGCAGGGAATTGAAAGGTCATAATCTTACATGTAATAATTTCTTCACATAATATAATTTGGAACAGTTCCTGCTAAAAAAGGAAAATGACAATTCTAGGTACAATGCATAAAAATAAGCCAGAACTTGTCCAACAAATGGACAATAAAGAAGTTCACAGTTCTTTGTTTTACGACAGACAATACTATCATAAACTATGTTCAAAATAAAATAGGAGCATTGTTCTTATGAGCATGTTGCACTGAGACAAAGCAATTAGCAACACAGAGCCAAAACAACTGCAACAATTTTGCACTACAACGCAAACAAAAAGCGCAGTTGATACTCTAGATCAACTTGTACATACTTATAGAAAGAGAAAGACAAATTGTTGGCCAAGGATTGCATTTTATAACATTCTGGACATTTCTGCCTTATAACGCCTTCGTCATGTGGACTAAAATAAATCCCAACTAGAATTGCAAGACATACACAAAAATATTTTTATTTTTCGAAGAACTGGGTAAGACCCTCATTTGTGAGCATGTTCAATCATGGAAACACATACCACGGACTGAAGAGTCACACAATATTGTTGCAAAAATGAAGTTATCATCAACAATCGCTTTTTGATCTATTGCTCCAACAAACACAACAAGCTCATTGTAAATTTAGCTCATCAAATAATGACAATAAAACAAATATTTTGTGTGGTATATTCAAAAAGCATATTTGCAAGCAATATGCAAATTATTTTTGTCCAAATTGTAGTAACACATTATAAAAAATGTAAAACATGGTTTTAGTATAGTTTTTAATGTATCACATTCATATATCAAGTAGTTAAAATATTGATTTGTCTTTTTTCACTTAATTCACTTCAGTATGTGAAATAACTTGTCGGGTCATATAGCCCCGAACAGTACAGCCATGTAGTAAATTCAAACATTACAGCAGGGTTAATTAGTACCAAAAAAATAGCTCTGGAGGTTATGTTCTGGCGTCTATGTCAACTCATCACAGCATTTTTTAAACAGAAAGAGAGTTTAACTTGTAAAGGAAATAAGGAAAACAAATGCTAGCTGCTGATGAGCATAACCAAACACAGACGGGTCAGGGAGTTTAACGTTTATGAACTCCATAACAACTTCATATGATGAAGAACATTCATCAACTTTGTGTGACTGAATCATTATTTGAGCATTTTAAATTTTTTTTTTCTGTAACTGAACTATTGCTGAACAACGAATTGACATTATGATCTTTAGCTACAATCAAAAGTGTCCCATTAATTGTTTCTGTTGGTGATTGAGTACTTGTATTGTTTCCTTTGCTTCGTGGCATGGCCAAATTGCATTTTAAAACTAATTGAATACAATTTTATACTACATTTATGTACCTAGAGACCCCCCTGAGTACAACACTCACTGTCCCTAGGTACAACAATCTGCAGTTATAAATAAACATGACTACTTTTAATTTTAGGATACCTATCAGAAAAAAGTATACACCTTGAATTAACTACATTCTATACTAGTAAGTGTAGGCCTACTTCATTTTCATAAAATATTAGCAGTTATTACAAAATTGAAGAAAAAGACATGCAGAAATTTTTACTTTTCACTCGTCAAATCTATTTAACTTTCATAAAATTAAGGTAACAGCTCACCCTACAAAATCGTTCACTTGAATAATCAAAAATGTCAATAGCAATGTAGGGAAAATAATCTGAAATTTTTCTCATAAATGTCTCGGAAACATGCTTTGTCCCTGCGTAATCTGTCTCTAGGTCCGACAGTTTTCCCTTAAAAAAATCACGAGCTCTCACTACTGAAGCTGTTTAATAAAATTGAATTCAAAAGTGAGCAGCTGCAGGTGAATTCATTTAGAAGAATTACAATCGGCAATAACGGGACTAAAAAATCCAAAATCACAGGAACTTGACAAAATGAAATGCTGAACTAATGACATATGGAGGTTTGCTGTTCAAACTAAGAATCCTCCACCTATTAAATTTATGTTGGATGCGATGCAGTGTCCCTAAAAAATGACAAAAAGCAAAAGTATATTTTTTTATTTAAAAAAGGGAAAAGAAGTGACAGTAGCAAACTATAGAGGTATTAGTTTACTAACCACCTGCTACAAAATATATGCAAAAATTGAAATTTTAATAATAGAACATAATGCTTTTAGAAACGACCCTCCTGTACAGATAATATTTTTACCAACTAATAGAAAAGTGTAGGGAATTTAATCTAGAAATCCACTTGGCTTTTGTTGATTATGAAAAGGCTTTCGATAAATTGAAATGCTCTACTTTATGGGAAATTATGGAAAGCAGAGGCTACCCACATCACTTAATTAATAACATTAAATCTCTGTATCAAAATAACTCTGTTATTTTAGACCTAGAAGAAAAATATTCAAAAGAAATACAAACAAAACAAGGAGTTCGCCAAGGATTCGGCCTTTCCCCAACATTGTTTAACATATACTTAAATGACGTCATTTGAGAATGAAAGAACAAAATCAGCCTAGGAATTAAGCTTAAAATTGGAGTGTAGTTGAATACCTTCCTATTTGTTGATGATGAAATTATAATCCATGAAAGTCAGGATTACTTACAGAGGTCTATTCATTAATTAAACAAAACTTGCAAAGGATATAATCTAAATATTTCAAAAATGAAGACGAAAACAATGGTATTTGTGGGAAAACATCCTATACACACCAAAATAATTTTGGAAAATATGATGCTGGAATAAATAAGCCATATTTGGGCTATAACAATATTCTTCACAGAAACGGATATAGATGAAAAAAATCATAAATACCAAAATATATACGGAAACTTTCGGTGAATTCTTAAAGATAAAACATGTAGACATACTCTAATTAGGATATACGAGTATAAAGTAATGGCTGTCCCGCCTGTTCGGATTTGTGAATGCTAGACTCTAAGAGACAAAGATAAACAGGCATTACAGTCTGCTGAAATGAAATCTTTGAGATCTGTAAAAAAATGTACCAGACTAGAAAAACTTAGATATGAGGAAATTCAAAAAGAATTAAACGTTCAAGCCATTAACGACAAAGCACAATGTTACAGACAGGAATGGTTACAATATGTGGAAAGAATGGAAGAGACTTGCATTCCAAAGCAGATGTTGAAAAATACGCCTCAAGGCAGAAGAGACCCAGGTAGACCTCTAAAAAAAGGAACCCTTAGAACCCGGAACAGGTTATAGACCTATACTTGAAGTAAAGAAAAAAAAGAAGTAAGCAGTCATTCAGAATAGCATGCAACAGTTTTCGAATTGAGAAAAATTTGATGTTTGTGTGTTTCATCTATCATTGTTCCATACAAACGATATCACGTAGACACATGGGCAAGCAGAAGGCTCACACAAGTGGTTATTCACTAGCAGATTTGGTAGAAAGGGTTAAATCCAGGGTATTTCCCACACAATATCATGTAAAATATGTTCCAACAAAACGAGTTTGGCTGCTTTACAAGGGTTTGTCCAAACCCTGTAAAGTGTCCTAAACCCTACTCGTATCCTAATTCCTTTCCAATTCTGCCCGCGGGCTGATAGCAATAATGAGAGAGAGTATGTATGTGCCACTAGTTTCATAATGAATTGGACAGTTAAAAATACATTAAGGGCTTTTTTGTCTTATTTCTTTATTAAGTAGTTTTATTTAAATTTATACAAGAATTTATTTACAAAATAGTCATGCTTCATACCACTTGTACACTGGAATTCTTGTTAATCCCTACTTGTACACGATTCACAGAAATATTATTATATTTTTACATAATTTATGCAAACATTTTTCAATATGCATGCACACATATTTAAGGAACTAATGGTCAATATTACTGTCAAATAAAATTCAAAATTCTCTGACTTTTTGAGACCCATTAGTACTTTTCCTCTTTTCTACTGAATCAATTTGCAATGTATTTTAATAATACTGATATGTCATTAATAACCTAATTTATGCCAAAAATTTCTACATTTTTAGAATTCATCCAGGACTGTAAAATTATTTTTCAGCCAAATTTAACCAATTTGTAGGATTGCGATTAAAAAAAGGCACATTACTTTTAAAGTTACTTCAGCATTTTTGTAGCATTAAATAAGATGGTTCTCAGCATTATATGATAAATGAAACTAGGGTTACCAAACCAATTCCAATGAATCAAAAGCTGAAAAAATGAGCACCTAATCCTGGAAGAATTAGATGGAAAAGTAGTAAAATATCCATATCTTCAAAGACAACAATTTTTTTTATAAAATAGTGTGTGTGTTACACTGTAAAATTCAAGGAAACAAATCCCTGCTTATTAACAAAATTCCCTGACTTTTCCAAACTTGCCTCTTACGCAAAAAATATCAATCATGTGTAAAAAGTAAAGCCAAGAAAATAGGTATCACTTCAATATAACAAGAACTCTATCAAATATAGTTTCTCTCACAATAATTCTTGGATGTATTTTGAACAGAAAGGCATTTCATTAGAGCTTAAATGTAATAAGGTATAACTTACAATAAAAGCTGCATTGGCATACTTCAATCCTACTTTTGTTTCTTTTTTTTTCCCTACTTGACGCAAGTGCTTGAGAGTTGCCAAATCACATACTTTCGAAGAAGGAATTTGTGACCGTGAAAACAAACTGTGTCGTGATGTCACACGTCGCAATTTCAAGGAACATGGTTCACATTGAACATCTAATTTATCTTCTCTGTAAAAAAATCAAGAAAACATTAAGCAACCTAATATATATATATATATTATATATAATATATATATATATATAATATATATATATATATATATATATATATATATATATATATATATATATATATATATATAATTTATCTAACAATAAATTAATTTATTGAATTGAATGATAAATTCAAAAATTTTAAAAATTATAAAATAATCATGGGACGATTCAAATAAATTCATTACAGAAGATCATTCAAAGCTTGAAAACAGAAAAGTGTCTACTTACGCAACTTTATGTATCTATTACTGAAACCTTGTACCTTTTTTTCACCTATATTCAGAGAATGTGCAGGTAACATGAAAGTTCAAATCCTTTGAAATATTCTCCCTCTATACAATTCATTTCCCCACTTACATAACCTTTTAATTAACATTGTCATGCTTCTTGAACAAGTTCAAAATAAAATTCACATCACTTACCCACAATAAGATATAAGTTCATGGAAACGATCTGTTGTTAAAGTTGTTTCAGGAATCCCCATAACCGATGACATTGTTTCCAAATTGTAATTATCCACACCAGAAGTCTGCAACGCTTTTATTGCTAGTGATAATTTTTCCTCATACTCTTCAAAATATGATTTAATATTAATGGGTTCTGACACCCACTGATTATTGACAAGACCACTTAATTTGATCATTTTTTTACTTTGATGTTTTCCTGTGCAAGAAGCATCGACATCGAAGTTGGGTAGTTACTTGTAGATGTACTTAATTGTCACTGCGCAATTATACAGCAATATAAATTTCTGGCCCTGAAGAAAGAAAACTAAGACTTTTCGTAAAATCAGATGACTGTCTTTCAACTTATAAGTAGCGGCATCTGGAGGATTCCCAACTGTTGATTGAACCGGTAATACGATTACTTTTCACTGTTTCGTTGAATCGTTGAAATCGTTCACCACGTGTGGCGATATCTGCGCTGTGATTGGTGGAGCGCAGCTATCTAGGCGGCTCTTTCAAAATCTGGAGAAAATGGATATTAATGAATAATGTAATTAATATTATAAATCATAGCATTTTTAGTACACATCGGAAGAAACGAACATAATATGCCTTAATGATTTTTTTAAATCATCAATAATGTAATCTTTTATGTCAAACCGTCCAATTATTCCCTTCCAAACGAATAAATAATAACTGCGTGAAGAAGTATAATTACTCATAGAATTTTATGAAGGGAGTTGTTACATTTACATAACTGCATTAACTTTCAGTTAAATTTTAAAGTTAAATTAAGTTTTAAATGTTCATTAAATAATAGAACCATAGTTTATAGGTAAATTCTACAATATAGAACACTTTAGGAAGTTGCACGAATGATTCTTTTTTAAGGCCTGAGGTTCGCTCTCACGATTCGTGAGAAACGAAGTCGATTCACTATTCACTAGCGCCACCACAGACCAGACGTAACACTGAAGAACTACTTGGACGATGGACTGATTCACTTGGTGTAAGCGGTGCAACTGCACCAATAATCGATTGGAAAGTGGGAAAATGCGGATGGCAGATTCAAGAAGTGTTTTTTAGTTTCTTTGTTGTAGGTTATTTAAGTGTTGAACTATAATATGTGCTGTGTGAATGCATTTATTTTTGTGTACAATTTAACCTGTGTTTAAAAATCGTTTATTCCAATAAAAACTTTAAAAGTGAAGAAGCCGAAATCAAAAGGATTCGTGGTCATCTGGTGTTAGAGTTTGATTATGGTCAAAACTAACCAATTCCGCGTTTCAATGTTAACAGCCAATTTTATAAAAGGATGCTTTGGCTCTATGCATTTAATATTCACGTCCTTAACGATGATTCATCATATTTCTGCTGTCATTTGAAAACTCATTCTAGTACAAATTGAAACTCAGTACCTTCATTCTTATACGAGTGTTTAAAAAAGAACTTTAGAACCTTTCCAGGAATCAAATCAGATGCTACAGGTCGACTTTCAGATGCTACAGGTTGACGAAACACAAAACTACAATAACGAAATTTCGTTCATGGTTCGCTAAAGTCCGCAAAGTGGAAATAACTTTTTTAAATCCTGTGCGTGGACTTTCACTTAGCCAATGTGAACGCAAATTTAAACCCGTTCGGAGCAAATAAACATTGTGGTGCTACAAATGGCACAGACTTTCTCATAGTTGTTAGTTTTCATATTTCTTTGGTGTGGGCTAGCTTTTCTATCTTGCCACATACTCTTGCCAGTTGCCATGTATCTCCACCCAAAGTACATTTTTTGAAATTTTCTCAATTTTTCGGTGTTCTAATAGTGGAGCCGATATATTACTTTAAGAATATAATAGAAGAGTAAAACTTCGCCCTACAAGGCAATATTTGTTGACAAATTTGGAACAGTTTTTAAGAAAATGGCTTGTAGACATTACTGTAAAAGCGACATTTGAAACTCTATTTCACAGAAAACTTTTGATTTTTCAAGAAACTTCATTTGAAGTCATTTGAAAGATTTCCACTCACAAATGGAATAATGTATACAAATCTTTGGAAATGTGCACATTAAAGGCTTGAAAAAATTTACATATGTGTATTTTAAAAACAATAATAGAGTACACCAAAGTGAATTTTTATGTCATCTTAAACAGTGCAATTACACTATCCGTTCGAAAAAAATGAAGAACAACTTTGGAGCCGTTTTCGAGAAAATGGCGTTTGAATGTTTCTGAAAGGCAGAATTTTGAGCTTATATAATATTCGAGAATATTATATTCGAATTTTCGAGAAACTTTATATGACATAATCTGAAGCGCATGCACTCATAAATGTAATACTGTAAACATGACTCCGCTACTATAAATATTAACGACGAGAGAGACAAGTAAAAAAATGAATTTTTAAAAACAACAACAAAAGAATAGAGCAATATGGCGTTTAAAATAAATTTAGTAAAGTATTTCTCTTAGTACTTAGTTTTCTAATATCTTTGGTCTGCGCTATGTTTGTCTGGGCTATCTCCTTGCCGCAAACATTCAACATATTTTCGCCGTCTTCTACAACTACAATTATAAATATACGAATTTTTCTTAACGAAATGTGTTTATCAAAAACAGATTTTTAAATGAGGACATGTGGACTGTTTCGAAAATATGAATATTTTTGCACTAATTGGGCGTCAAAGTTAGTCGCCTGCTCTGAAAATCCTGTTTCCTTATCGTAATTTTAGGTGTTTTGAGGCAGTTAGATGCTACGTAAAATATGTATATTATTTCATATTTCTTTGTTTGTTTATTACATTGGAGCTTTTGTTATACGTTTACAAATTAATACATTAGAAATAATTAAAAACCTATTGAAATAAATATGAAATATATTCGGCCGCTCGCAATTTATGAAGTTGGATGCTACGTAAGTTAAAATTTATATATTATTTTATATTTCATTTTAATATTTTGATTATTTAAAGTTAAGAAAAAAATTAACCGTTTTTGATAAATTATTGTTAGTGTTATTTTTTAATATAGCACATATTTCATGTATTTTTGCGCGAAAACTACTAAAAGTTTCAATAAACTGTACAGAGTCTTAATGAAAGAAGAAATTAAGGAAAACAAATTTCATTTGAAGGAAAATCTGTCGTCAAATTTGTAGTTGTAGGAAGACGCCGAAAAAATTTTAAAAAATTTCTTTTGTAAAATTGAGAATTAACAGTGAAAATCGGGTTAATGTCACCTTTATAAGTGTATTTCAATCAATTGATAGACCAAATATAAAGAAAAAAAATTGAGCCATTTTCGGGAAAATTTTGAAATTTCCCAGGTGCTTCATGTAAAGTACCCCCAAAATTTAAAGAATGTTTTTCAAAACCGCAGAGCTTGGAATGGAACCAGATAGATCGCATAGAATTCGTTTTTGAAAAAATCATACAAATTGTTTCGACGCTAGCTAATATACGACTAGCGCCCTGGCAGGCCAGCCTGGCAGCCAGGTCAGCAGCGCAGCGAAGCGGCGTTGGCCGCACCCACACGCCGCGCGCAGCAGACGCCAGGAGGCGTTCGGGCAGTAGTGCGTCGCGCTAGGGCCCCAAGCACAAAATTGTGTTGCCCCCCCCCCC